TAAATCATCACTACAATCAGTGCTGATTCCAACAATAATGGGGTCAATTTGTTCAGAAAGTGAAAATTCAACTTGTGATATAGCATCTCATTGATTCATTTTTTTAAACATAAAGCCACTGGGACCAAGAGAAAAACTTTTTTGAAAAAATAATCTCATAAATAAAATGAAAATAGTCAACATTGTGGCTTTTCTTGAGTGTTGCAAGGAATAATCTATGCAGTGTAGGATTCACTCTACTTTACCTCTTTTGTGCAAGGTAACAAATATTTTCATACAAATTTCATTACAGAACATAACAAAGAAGAATATATCATGAACCTTTGCTTATTATTCTAGCAGCTAACAAATATAATTTCTTATAGTGAGAATCATTTTGAATTTTGTGCAATTTGGAAAACAATATTTCTAAAATGATGCTATTTGATTGAAAATAAAAGAAAAAATTACAATGAACCTCTTCATCTGTGCAGAAATTTGAAATAACATGATGGAAAGAAGACAGTGATTCTTGTTTTTTTATCCCTTCAAGCTTTGCATGTGATTTTGTGTCTCTTTTGAAAAGCCGGATAACATTCATCCTAGCAAAGGTGTTTAGTAATTTGTCTGGATATGAATTATTGTTCAACTGCAATCCTGTTAATTGACACAGCCTATGTAACAGTGAAACCCTAAAAGTGTGACACCAGGTTCCAAAACAAAATGCAAAGATGAAGGGAGGGGGGATATGAAAATGGAAAAACCAGTCTGAGCTTACATCATACAAGCCCCATCACTGATGTGTGTAACCCCACTTCCTTATTCAGAAGGAGGGATGTTGTAACCATTGGCAACCCTGGTGAGGGACTTGTTTGAACAATGGTCTCAGTTTTGCTTGAGCTTCCTCACTGACAAGTTCTTTGTGGTGCCAGAGACACAAAAAAAATTGTGTTGAGTTGGCTTCTTTTCTTTCTTAAATTCGATTTATTGTGTTGCATGGTCATGCCCTGGCTGGTTGGCCCTCCATGTACATTCATTGACCTTTCTGAGTGCTCCACTTCTCTCCAATTCCTTGCTCAATCTTTAACTGTATTTTTCTCATCCAGGAAGTGAGAGAAACTTTCTCTCTGGAGCCTGGTAAATCCCTTGCCTTTTTTGGCCAATACAAAGAAGCTCTGTCAGTTCAGTGAAAGTTTCCTGATTTCACACAGAAGAAAACTGAACTATAGAAAACATTTGGAACCTTTTTTCTGAAGATCAAACCATATTAGCATACAATGCAGATTTTTTGGGGAAAGATGAGTAAATATTACATTACCTACTGGAAAATGTTATAATAATTTTTACATGAATTGAGAAAAAAACTGTACTTCAGAAACAATTTGGAAGTTTCTTTCTTAATTTTTTTTCTAAAGAGGAAATCATTATAGCAAACAATGCAGAATTTTTCAGGGAATAAAATGAAAGTACAGTATTATTTTACCTCATACAAATTTTTGTTTTTTCCATGCTTTCACATAGACCGGAACTGTGCACTCTAAAAAATTTACATTTTCTTTTTCCATTTTTCTGAAATTGGGAAACATTAGCATACAATGCAGAATTTTTTGGGGAAAGATAAAGTAAATATTATACTGTATTACCTACTGAAAAATGTTATATTTTTATCTGAATAACAGAAAAAAACTGTGTACTTCAGAAACAATTTGGAAGTTTCTTTTTTAATTTTTCCTAAAAAGGAAATCATTATAGCAAACAATGCAGAATTTTTCAGGGAAGAAAATGGAAGTACAGTATTATTTTACCTCATATAATTTTTTGTTTTTTCCATGCTTTCACATAGAACAGAACTGTGCACTGAAAAAAATTGAAATTTTTTTTTTCCACTTTTCTGAAGTAGAAAACATTAGCATACAATGCAGAATTTTTTGGGGAAAAAGAATAGAAGTATTATGTCACCTCACTAAAATTTTTCTTTCCTTTTTTCTACTTTCTCTCTTTTGTTCTTCATTGTGAATGGGAAGGAAAATTAGGTTCTTCCTGTTTTGTTGTTCTGTGAGGCTTACCATTACAGGGCAATGATTGCATGGCTCAGCAACCATCAGAAACAACCTGAGAGTTTAATGACTTCAAGAGTGCAGAAACCGTGACTTTGATTATGCACACTGTATTATTATTTTATTTTTTGCTAAGACCTGTACTCTTCTTGGTTTCTCAGAAGCTGTAGGCAAGAGAAAAAATACCAGTAAAAAAGCCCGCCTCTTTATAGTTTGAATGTTGCAATAGAGGAAAGGGTTATAATGATGCAATGAATAATAAAGCGACTTTTATCCAGGTTTTGCACACCCACTCATAAAACCAGGCTGTCCCAATCCCAGAAGCAATTTCAACAAGAAACTTTCTCCCCTTTTTCCATTTATACAACCCACACATTGATTTGGACAAACCCACACTTTTCACTCCTACAATAACAGAAGTTGATTGTCTATTTCCTCCTTTGAGCACTTTCACTTGAACCAATAAGAGAATTGACACACTATAATAAACTGTGCTCCAAAAATGTTGAAAGTTTCAATAGCTTTGATTCTGTAAGCCACCACCAGGTTTCATCCCTCCATGCATGCAAATGGGTTACTGTGTTCTGATTTTTTTTACTGTGTGCCTGGAAATTAACTGCAGTTGAGATATTCTCTCACCAGATGACACTGGAACATGAGGAAAACTCTTTGATTTTATTTTCAGGTGTGTGATGTCTTGTGAGACAGTGTCAGCAATTATATAGGTGCTGAATTTATATGATCATGAAGACACCAGTTTTGAGTGTGGTGTCACTGGTGCTGCTGGCAACCCTGACTGTAGTGAGTGCTAATGAAGCTTGGGCCTGGGGAGCCACATCATCTGAAGACATAACTGAGAAGCATGCTAATAATGGAGGTGCAACAGGATCAGATGAAGCAAAGAAGAAATCTGGAAGCGTTTCTTTCCCTGGAACCAAAAAGGGTGATGACCTCCCTGGTGAGAAAAACTTTTCAAACTTTATCCTCTTAACCCCAACAAAAAATGTCAAAATTGTATTTCCTCCCAGTTGTAGAATTGAAGCAAGTGAGCCAAGGGATTTCACTACTGCCAACTAAGTCATCTGTGGGTCATAAAGACCTGGGCATTCCTCTTGAAGAACTCCTCAAGTCTAAGGGGGATTTGAATGCTGTTGGTAACCCCAATGCACAAATCAACCCAAGGAAGGGAAAGTCTCTGACCCAAGCTGTCAGTCCTGCCACAGACATTGAGGGGCGTTTTGGCAAGAAACTCTGCAAATGGAGTGGATGGGTGAGCACTGGAATCTGCTAATTTTGGCATGAATTCCAAATTTGTCAAATTTTTGCAGAAATGGCTAAATATGAGGAATAGACACATTCAGCAGCCAGAGAATCCATGCATTTTCATAAAATTAATTGGATTATTTTTCCATTCAGATATTCCCTTAAAATCTCAAACAAACACCATTCCTCATTTTATATACATACTCATCTGTATGACAATGACTTTAACTGGAAACTCAGTGATTTTGATCTCAGACATTTTTTATATTTATATATTCTTTTTTCCTGAAAATGATAAGGTCTATGGATTTATTGCTTCATTGTGCACTTGGGCTCAATTTAAATTGTAATGAAAACTAAAACTACAGCATTGTGAGATGCTTCTAATTAACACTGAGTGCCATTTAAACATGTGTTTCCTTTACAGTGCAAAGGCTATGGAAAAGATGTGGATCCATCAGAAGTGGTCTATGTTCAGCCTGTGAAGATCAAGCCAGTTGGGGAGCAGTTGCCAGCCATTGTTGTTGGAAAGGGTGGTTTGCAATTGCCTGGTGGTTACTCACAACCAGCCCCCTATTTCCCTCCACCACCAGTGCAGCACCATCATGACCACCATCACCACCACAAAAAGAAGAAGCACTATGGATATGGATCCAGCAGCATTAATTATGGTGCCCCTCTTGGAAGTTCCAGCAGTGGTGCAGGCTATGGTAAGTCTTGAATAAATTAAACTTTAAAATTTTTTTAAATAATGAACTTAGGAAAAAAAAACTATTCCATCCTTTTTCAAGTTTTTTTCCAAGTTTTCATGATTCATTTTTACAATTTGGGAATGCTTTTTAATGATACTTTTTGATATTTCCCAGAAGTTGTTTGGTCTTTTCACACTAGCTAACTTCAACCTTTGTTTCCAACAGAAATATCAGAGCCAACAAGAATGTGCATCCAAGAATTGGCATGTAATGGAGATAATAAATTTTTTTAGAAGTTATGTGTTATATTATGTAGTGTTTAATTACAAAGATATGGACTCATTTCCACAGGACCAGGACCTCTTCCAGGAGTGCCATATGCAAGAGATGACAGCAGCGCTTACTATGACAGTGTGGAAACTGCTGGTGGAGCAAGAGTTCAAGGTGGAGGAGCATCTCAGTCTTTCCAGACTCAGTATTCAGGGGTTTCCACTGCAGCAGGATCCAGTGGATATGGTGCACCACAGTCCCAAAGTCATCAGAACTTTGGATCTCAAGGTGACTTCAGCAAGCGTGGACCCAGACAACAGTTCAACAATGCCCCACCCAATAGAGGCAGACCATCAAGTGTGTATATTTTGGTCTCTTGCATTCATTCACCATGGTTCATAACAGTGCTACCCAACCCTTTTGGGCACATGAACTGAGAAATTTCCATAATATGTTTGAAAAGTCTGCAGTTAAGAAATAAATTCAAGAACCGATGCAGCCGCTATAGTGAAATGTCTTCACACAAAAAAAGAAGGCAAACTTGAAGAAAAATTTTTCAAAATGAAAAATTGAAATGATTTATTTCAGAGGGTGAACATTTTTCTGCAGTTTTATCTATAGAAAAGCCAACTTTAATTTTTTATCAGATGATTTCAACTGCCATTGTCTTTCCAAAATTTCAATTTAACACAGCAGACTGCATTATTTATTGCACCAAAGCAATGTCTTGTCCAACAGAGTCAGGCCATCAATTGTGTATCTTCTTTTGATCTCTTGCATTAGTTCACCATGGTTTTTTATAATTTTTTCCATTCAGGGGGTCCTGGTGTCAATCCCCAAGTAGCCCAAGTCCAAGCGCAAGTGGCTCAAGCACAGTATTCCCAGCAACAACAGCAACAGTTCCAGCAGTACCAGCCCCAACTTCAGCAACCATATCCCCAGCAAAACTTTGGACCTAACCCTGCTTACCAACCCCAACCGCAGTATCCCCAACAGAACCCTGTGTACCAACCTCAACCCCAGTACACCCAGCAGCAGCCATCTTTCAACCAACCAGCTTACCTTCCACCAGTTGGCAAGTCCAATGACCAATGCATCTGTGTACCAGCCTCACAGTGTGCACCACAGGACACTCTGGGGAGAGAGAGTCCCAGCAGGCCACCTTACCAATACAACCAATTGGACCCAAGGAACAAGCAACAGCACCAAGAACAGCTGTCAGAGTATACAGAGTTTGCTGATGGTCTGAGTGAAGATGTGGCTGCATACTATGACACTGAGTCCAGGGCAGTCAAGAAGGATGATGCCATAGAAGCTGAAGACAGCAGTGAGGGTACCAGGAAGAAAAGAGATGCTGGACAAGAAGGGGACATTGAAGTGCCTATTCTGAGTCCTGCTGAACCAGAGTCTGTGAGTTCATCTGTGATGTACTTTTTCATAAATCATTTCTTCAACTTTTCAAAATTCCAAGAGTTTACACTAATTTCTGGTCCAGTTTGATTGAAATGGTTGAAATAACACCACAAATCAAAGGGGTACAGCATTACAAGATAAAGTATTAATCTACTGTAATATAGTTTTCATACAAACCAAAGCGCTTATTCTCACAAACCACGCTGTAGTGATAGAAACTTGGCTTCAGTGTTACCACTTGATGGTGACTGCTGTTGGTTCAATCAAGGGTCATTGTAAGGAAACTGTGGCATTTATTTTATACATCAGAGACAACTCAGCAGCAATGGAGTCTGTGGACCTTATGAGGTGTGCTGCAGGAACCTAGGGATCAACAAACCTTCCAATAATGGACAGTGTGGTGTGAGGTATGCCAGGGGCATCACAGGCAGGGTCAAAACCCTAAAGTATGTTGATGGAGATGCTGAATTTGGTGAGCACACAAGCAGTCATTTTTCTGCTGATTGCGCGGCTTCTTATTGGAAACTTCAACTGGCTTTTGTCTTTATACAAAGGTGAATACCCTTGGCAGGCAGCCATTTTGAAGAAGGAGGGTGTTGACAATGTGTATGTCTGTGGTGGAAGTCTGATTGATGGCCAGCACATTGCCACTGCTGCTCATTGTATTAAGGGGTAAGTACAAATGCTTATATAGCATTTAGCATGTGGTAAATTTTGATTCTTGCTAAAACAGGTACAACCCAAATGACCTCAGAGTGAGGCTTGGAGAGTGGGATGTGAACCATGACACAGAGTTTTACCCTCATGTGGAGACAGATGTTGCAGCAGTTGTGATTCATCCTGAATTCTATGCTGGGTCTTTGTACAATGACATTGCTCTATTGAGGCTTGAGAGCTATGTGGACTTCACCAGGAAGTGAGTCTGTGGTATACCTTTGGATGATGGATAACCATTCATGTGATGTACGTATTTTGCTGTGTATAGTCCCCATGTGAGTCCTGTGTGTCTACCAAACCAGTACTCAGAGTTGCCAGCTGGATACAGATGTTGGACCACTGGTTGGGGAAAGGATGCCTGGGGCAACTCTGGACAGTACCAAAATATTCTCAAGGCAAGTTTTTCATGTCTGTGATCTGAGACAACTGATGGACTGTATATTTTGAGGACTTTGGCCTGATTTAAATTTTCTTTCTGGGGTTTTGTTTATTATTCAGGAAGTGGATGTGCCTCTAGTGCAGCACCATGAGTGTGAGAACAGACTCCAGAGCACTAGACTTGGTGTGGCTTTTAACCTTCATGAGGGTTTCTTGTGTGCTGGTGGGGAAGCTGGCAAGGATGCTTGCAAGGTTAGTATCAAGTCTGCACTCATATCAGAGTTGCCAACCAACCAAATATGCAAAAATTCTTTTTTGACAGGGTGATGGAGGTGGACCGTTGGTGTGTGACATCCAAGGAACCTGGCAATTGGCAGGGATTGTCAGCTGGGGAATTGGGTGTGGACAGCAAGATGTTCCTGGGGTTTATGTCAAGGTTGCCAACTACTTGCCCTGGATTCAATCAGTGACTAGAAGCACCCTTGGTTGAAAACTTCTGAGAGAATTATCTCCCAATCCTAATTTATACTTAGGACACTCATCTCCCCCAAGAAATAAATGTTAGAATAATTTTTGGAGGCAAAATGTCACCATAACTCTTGTTGTTTTTTGTGGTTTATTTTTATTTTTTAGATGGAGTTACCAACATGAGGTTTTTTGAGTTGTTGCACTGGCAATGCCAGGTAAGTGGCTGCCAAAAAATATGAGCCATCCATCATTGTCTTTCCTTTTTTTGTTTTGATCTCAAGTTTTCCACTTTTCTTGTGAACAAGAGAACCCTTGAGATATTCTTTACCATGTGTCAAGATGGCGGCGCTCTGTGAACTGCTTGAGATTTTTATATGGATTGACATTGATGAAAAATGAAAACGTTTCTGATTCTGAAAATACCATCTTTTATTATGGTGGAAAGACAGTTTTTGTGAGAGGAGTTCACCTTGAGTCTCTCCACTTTCCAGTGCTGAAGATTTATCTTTATGACTTTCAGAGAAAACAAAAGAAATGATCACCAGGGTCCAACAGTAAGAAGTAGAAAATTGTCATGGTTTGACTCTAAATAACAAAATCTGGGAGCATGATGGATTCACTGTAGTATTTCGTCAATCAAATGCATTCAATGACAAAAGTTGAACAGAGATAAGGATGGGTATAAAATACATATATTGGACTGATTAAAATCAAAATACAATATAGTACAATATTTGCATTTGAGAAAAAATTTCTCTTGATTTTGACACACTGATCAACTATGAGAAACTATACATGCAGTTGGCTCATGAGCATGGAAACGTGTTTTAAAATTTTTAATACTGTTTTTCAAGGGGAACCCATCAACCTTGGACTGCATTTGTTCAGTCAACTGCTGGATGCAGACACAATAAGATTTGCATGTTACAAATAACCACTTCCATCATTGAAAAAGTGCTACCATAAAACGTATTTCACATAAACTGACAGCATATGAATAAAATAAAATTTTCAAACTCCTATTTTTCAATAACCAACAATTTTCTGGCTTATTATTACATTGCTTGCACATGCTGGAGCTCCATTTTTGAAATAAAATTCTTCATTCAAGGTTTTGCTACTGAAGCAAAGTCATATTATAAATGAAATCAATTTTGAACTTTTACTTCTAGCTTATGTACATTTTTTGTCAGTTGGTTGACTTCTGCACTGCATTGCTTGGTCCTTGTTTAAAGTATTTGTACCGTTTTGATATGGTTTGTGTTTTCAAATATAAGGAAACTGTCAATTATAGGCTGAAAATGCATAGAAAGGGGCAGAGACTTTTTTAGACTGAGGATATGTTTGAATTATTACTGATTGAACATATTGAGACTCCATGATTGGGGTCACAGGAGAGAAATGTGCATTTCATCTAACAGAGCAGCTTGATCATATCACAACAACTTTTATCAACTTTCTCTCCATTTTTGATTATCCATATGAGTTCAGATAAGGTCACTATATACAATAATGGTATACCATCAAACGTTGTCAAGAAAAAAACTGCGCAACACCAGCTTTCTTGTACTCATGATTTTCACTTTTCATGTTGAAATTGATAAGAGTTTAATCTGAGATTACTGTGACTACAACAAAAGGCCAAGATTTTTGCTGGAATTCAACAAAACTGTGAAATATTTTGTGGGGAAAAGAAGGTTTGAAAAAGCCATGGGTATTTTGTTGGCAGCTGTGGTGCTTTGGACAGCATTTGTTGTCATTGGCTGGTTGTACAGAACCATGAAGAGACATGAGGGTTCACCACCTGGTAATGTATTCAAATAAAATGTTAAACACCTGTATTTGTTCATTTTAAAGGTATTGTTGTTGAATTCAAATTTCAGGACCAACAAGGTGGCCTCTGATTGGCAGTATTCCCTTCCAAGTTGCTGCTGATTCATTCCCTGCTTACTGGAAAGAATGTTCCAAAGTTTATGGTCCTATTTTCAAGTGAGTTTCCCTTTACATACTTGACACAAACCAACTGTTTTTTTTTCTGTAAAAAAATGGCCAAATTGACTATTCTTTCAGCCTGGGAATATTTGAAAAATGAGGCTCAGGTATTTGTTTTCTATTCAGATTTGGCTTATTTCAAGAGGTTCTGAAATTAAATTTGTTTGAAAAAAATATCTGCTATTTCCACAGCTTGAAGCATGCTGAGTTGGAATATGTAGTCATAACTGATTATGACATGGCAAAGGAAGCAAATGCCTTGGAAGAACTTTCTGATCGCCCCCAGTATTCATTTGTGTTTTTCCTCATGAAACAAGTCAATACAGGTGGGTTAAAATTTCAAAATCCTCAGCCCATTTCATACAACTTTAGCATCATCATCAAGAGTAATTTTTACAGGACTTCTGTTTGAAAATGGGGACGTCTGGAAGCACAACAGGAGATTTACTTTGAGAAGTTTGAGGGATTTTGGCTTTGGCAAATCCTCAATTGAAGGACTGATTACCAGAGAAGTTCAAGGTTTGGTCAAAACAATTGACCCAGAGAAGCAGGGGCCAAACATAAAGTTCCATGACATCAAGTTGGATGCTGCCCTGAATGTTTCTGTGACTAACATCACCTGGTGGCTGATGGCAAGTAAGAGAAACACAAATAAACTATTAGTATCCCTTCAATAATCTCAGTTTCAGCATATTTTGTCATTCTCATGCAAATTGCAGACATTCAACATAGTTTTGTTTGTCCACAGACAAAAGAGTCACAAAGAAGGACCCAGACTTCTTGCAAATTCTGGAAACAATCACAGATTTGAGCAAGTTTGACAGGTTCCAGTTTTTCTCATGTGTGCCAAGTCTTTTTTACAAATTGCCAAGCTGGCTCACACTGAGAGAACAAAAACAAGTCCTGAGGGACCACTTCTACTCTTATATGAGAGTGAGTTGAAATGTGAATTCAAATTTCTAAACCCCTTAAGAATGATTCTCATCATTGCATATATTCTAATAAGGGGGTTATTCGAGAACATAACAACACTTTGGACCCCAATGAGAAAAGAGATTTGATTGACTGCTTCCTGTTGGAGAGACAAAGAATGAAGGAAGCTGATGAGCCCAATGTTCCAACTGGTGAGAGAAATTTTGAAACAAATCCCTATAAAGTAGTGAATTCTCAAGTTTGTCCATTTTTTAAAAATAAAAATGTTGATGATTTGGACTTTGCAGATGATATGATTGCTTGGACAATGGCTGACTTGTTCATAGCTGGAACTGAGACAACTGCTACAACATTAAGATGGTTTTTCCTGTACCTGGTTCACTATCCTGAGGTTCAAACAAAGATCCATGAAGAGATTGACAGAGTGATTGGCAAGGACAGACTTCCTATCTGGGAAGACAGGCCCAAGTAGGACATTTTGAAATATCTTCACAAATACATTTTTTTCAGTGAACAGAACATATTGTGTACAGTATTTTGAAACATGGGTAAAAATGCTACTGAAACATGTTTTAGCATGCCATACACTGAGGCAGCCATTTGGGAAGTTTTGAGGCTGAGGCCAGTGTTGCCATTTGGACTAGAGAGACAAGCAACAGCTGATTTTGACTTCAGAGGCTATAAGATCAAAAAGGTCAGTTGTTTACAGTGCTCATCCTTTGTTTTTTACTTTGTAATGTTTTTGTTTGGGCTCTTTCACCAGGGGACAATTGTCACCACTGTCATCAGCATTATTCATAGGGATCCAAAATTACATCATCATCCTGATGAAATGATCCCTGAAAGATTCCTGGATGCAAATGGGGCTTTGATTAAAAATGCAAAGATCATGCCTTTCCAAGCAGGCAAGAAGAATTTGATAATTTTTTCTTCACTATAACCTATTTTGGGGCATATATCACATACTGGTATTTTTTAAATCTAAAGAATCTCACTTGAGATAGGATATTATTTGATCAGCAATTGTTTTTTATCTTCAAAATAAAATAAAAATTGCTGGTGCATTTATTTTGATAAATATACATACATGAATTATTTATAAATGAAATTTTGTTTTTCCAGGAAGAAGACAGTGTTTGGGAGAATCTTTGGCCAGGATGAACCTATTCCTAGAAATCACAACTTTGTTGCAGAGATTCAACTTTGAGAAAACCCCTGGTGAAGTTTACAGCATGAATCCACTTTTGGGCACTGAAGTCACTGATGTTCCAGAGAGGGATTTCAGCTTCAGAGTTTCCATCAGGACTTGACAGCAATTTTTTGAATTTTTTTAAATGTATGAATGTAAGGGTTCCACTTGTCAATTTGTGTATTTATTTTCTTGTCCTTTATATATTGTGAGAATGAAGCTCTTCAGTGATTTTGCTCAAAGAATATTTCTTCTTTGAATGAGTGGATCTTGCAAAGGAAAAATCAGGGATGACACATTCTGTTATGGTATTCAGGGAAGATAAGATGGGAGTTTGTGTTTTGCTAAAGGATGATGACTAAATAGGGAATTCTTCCTATTAACCACTGGATTTTTGGTTTGATTATTTTCCAAATATGTATGCAAATTAATCCAAGATGCAGGGGTTTATAACACAGATAAAATGTTTTTCATATTTATTCTAAGATTTGCAGATGAAATTTCCATTATTTTCTGAATTTGATTTGCATTTTGTCCATTTTGAGTTTTCAGTGTTATTTCGATAGTGGTTGATAAAACCTTGCAAAATTAAATTCACATATTTTGGAAGTTATAAACCCCTGACTGATGTGTAGATAAACGTAAACATGCTTGAAGCCTGTCATGGGTTGACTAGGTGTTGCCCTGAGCAAACTACTTCGCACCGTGAAATGACTAGATGTTGCTCACGGTTGCGCCACATTGCTTAGAAGCAACTGGAATTATCAAGAACACAGAATTATATAATTTGGAATATTCTATGAAAGTGTGAAACCTTCATGGAATAATTCCACAATTATTACAAAGCATCATGAGCAATCCTCATTAAAAGGATTCTCATGAAACACCAGACACAGCTTCAATAAGAAACTGGCCTTCAGGTTCTTTTCCATTAGAATGGACCTGAACCTCAACACCAAACCTCATCATGATCATCATTGCTGTTCCTGAAGTGTGCACGCAAACATCACGCAAACAAGGACCCAGGACAAAGCCTTCTCAATAACCTAGTGATTTGAAGACATTTGTAATGAGAATTCTTTTCATGCCCCTCAAAATGCCCTCCTGCAGGTTTTATAGTGTACAACACATTATGAAATTGAAAGACTCTTTCCAAAATCTTATAGAACTCAGATAATCTGGTTGCCTTACATGATTTCTCATCAAAGATTCTCTCCAAATCTTGGAGCAGGCTGAACACCTTGTGCTTTAATTTGGGTTTGGTAATTGCTTTATGCTGAAATTCTTATTACTGATACAATATTTTTTTAATCAGTGAAGGGAAGAAAGTGTAAAGCACTTTTTTGGATGAAATTCTTTTTCTTTTAATATCCATGTACAGCTTGTCTCTCTGTTTTCCATTCTGATGTGATGAAATGTGTTTGGATGAATGTGGGTTGAGAGGGGATGGGTTTGGATGTGAAAACATTGCTTGAACCTTGTGAAGGCTGAAAAGCAGAAAATAAAGCTTGCTGTTCAATTCAATTAAGTACATAACTTTACTTGGAAAGCAAGCACAGATTCATAAAGTAAGACTGAGAAAGAAGTAAGCCTTTTTGTCCCTGTTTTTCAACGGTTGAAAGGTTTATTTGTCTTTTAATTCACTGGTTTTTAAAAATATTGATATACTAAGTAATTCAAGATATTTTATAGTTAAAAAAAAACAGTATGGAGCCTATACTTTGTAGTTTAACTTGCAAATACTGTACAGATGTTGTCACTTTAATTAAGGCATGAATAATGGTAAAATTGTTTTTGGCCTTTGATACATTGAGTACATTGATCTTGGAATTCATGCAATTTTAAATTTTGTAGTAGTTTTTAAACCTCTCTGCTTAACATTCGCTGCACAAGCTTGAATCTCTCCAATTCATTGCGCAACCTCACCTAGAATTGAATGCTTCACTTTCTGAGCCATGCTTTGGATAATCTGTAATCTTGCTTTTTCTTTCCTGATATGAAAAGAAGGGAACAACCTTTGAGCTGAAGCAGTATCTGTCATGTGATATGATATTGTAAACAAGCATCACATGAGTACCTCACTTCTCTGATAAACTCACTGAGGCAAACTCAAGCTATATTTAGTGTTTCTCGATGCTTTGATGTGAATTGGGTGGGGATTTGACTTTGAGGTTTTTTCATTAATACGCCAATATTGAAACCTTATTGATTGACAATTTTCTTTGTGTGAAGAAAAATTTCATTTGAACATGGCATTTGTGACCTTGTTCATCACATCTTTCATTTTTGTGCTCTTGATTCAATGGGTCTACCAGACCATGAAGCGACATAAGAATTCCCCACCAGGTCAGCAGGCATTTGATTTCACAGCAATTATTCTCTCTTCCTTTCAAAAAATTCAAATTTCTCTATAGGTCCTCCAAGATGGCCATTGGTGGGCAGTTTGTTCATGCAACTTGCTGAGCCAGCATTTTATGTGTACTGGGAAAAACTGTCCAAAATATATGGCCCTATCATCAGGTGATTGGATCTTTCAATTCCATTTGAAAAAATGAGAAATTCAGACATTAAAAATTCTGGTTAAATTTTGAATACAGTGTGAAAAGGTGCTTTTGGTTTTTTGCAGTCTGAAAATTGGTCAGATGGACTTTGTTGCCATAACAAACTATGACCTGGCAAAGGAAGCAAATGTCATGGAAGAGTTGTCAGACAGACCCCCTTATGAGTTCTTCAAATTTTTCATGAAACATGTCAACACAGGTGATGACAACATATCTGTAAATACCTTGAAGATTCTCCCTAACTCCTATTTTTTAAACTCAAAATAAAAGGTTTGTTGTTTGTCAATGGGGATACTTGGAAAAGGAACAGGAGATTTACTCTGAGAAGTCTGAGGGACTTTGGATTTGGAAAGTCCTCCATTGAAGGACTCATCTTGAATGAGTTGAAGGAACTTGAGCCAGTTTTAACACCTCCAAAAGGCAGCAATTACAAGGATATTAGACTTGATGAATCCTTGAATGCTGCTGTGACAAATGTCACCTGGTGGCTCATGGCAAGTGAGTCTGCACAATTCAAACTTACATCAGTTTAACACACACCTTTCCAAATGTTGTCTGTATTTAAGAGTTTCATGCAGAAGTGAAAATAATATCCTATTCTAATCCAACAGACAAGAGAGTTACAAACAAAGACCCAGAGTTTCTCAAGCTCTTGGACACCATCTCATCTCTGATCCAGTTTGATGCCTTCCAGCTCTTCTCAGTCTTCCCTTCTTTGTTTTATATTATGCCAGACTTCATCACTGGCATCAACAAGAAGAGAGAGGAAAGAGAACATTTCTACAGCTACATGAGAGTGAGTTTCATGAATGAATGAACAGAACACTTTATTTGCCGCTTTTCAGCTTTCACGAGGTTCAATCAAGATTTCCACAACCAAACCCCCTTCCCACCCAACCCAAATTCACTCAATGACATTCAATCACTTCAGAGCAGGAAAGTACAAATTGATAACAAAAAAAAACAATACAACATGAAATACAACTGGACATCTGACATGTATGCATACACCCATTCATTCCCTGACATTTGAGTTTCATCATGAAAAATATTTTTAAATCAAAATTATGCAGTCAAAAGTGTTATGACTACTGTGTGAAATGACACTTTCACTCAATTGTTTACATATTGTTGCGCTTAATGCGCAACTCTGCTCAATATTCTGTTGCTACCCAGAACCTTTCTAAGCAATATCCTTTCTTCAACTTTGTGTTGCAATAAAGTATTTCAACACATACAAGTTCAGATTGGTTACTGCACACATTCCAATACATTTTATTATTTAATGATAAAAAAAGCGTGCTGCACAATCAAGCAAGCTTCTTGTCCAGAGTTTGTTCTGAAAGCTTGTCTCATTTGGATTGCTCCACTCTTGTACAAAATTTAATAACCATACTTGAGATATATCTTCTTGGAGCATTTTCTATACTTCTCCAAAAGTGTGCAGAAAATGATGTAAACCTCCAAGAACCCAAAAGTTACTCAAATTGTGTTGGTTCAATTTATAATTCTGATCAATGGAAATTTGATTGTCAGCTGGCAGTTGGAGTATCAAAATGTATTTGTTCCAATGATTCAAGATAACAATGACTCTTTTCCACAGGAAGTAATCAATGAACACAAGCAAACCCTGGACCCAAATGAGAAAAGAGACTTGATTGACTGTTATCTGATTGAGAGACAGAGATTGAAAGAAACTGGAGAAGCTGAGCCACCAACAGGTCTGAAAAAATTCTAAATTAAATGCATCAGTACTTGATAATTTTTGTAATTATTTACAGATAACATGATTGCTTGGACAATGGCTGACTTGTTCATTGCTGGTACTGAGACAACTGCTACAACATTAAGGTGGTTCTTTTTGTTCCTGATTCATCATCCACACATTCAGGATAAGATTCAAGATGAGATTGACAGGGTCATAGGCAAGGACAGACTTCCTGTTTGGGATGACAAACCTAAGTACAGTTTCCATTACAAAAAAATATATTTTCTAAGTGCTTTCAACACAGTTTTTATGCCAAATTTTCAGAATGCCATACACTGAAGCAGCCATCTGGGAGTTACTGAGACTGAGACCACCTTTGCCAATTGGTCTTGAAAGGTATGCCTTGAAGGACATAACAATTGGAGGTTATTCAATCAAGAAGGTCAGTATATTATTTCATGCCATTCATTTTCAAAATGTTTCTTGAATTTCTAACTTCCACAGGGTACCATTATATCAACTGCCATCAGTGTGATCCACAGAGATCCCCAGTTGTTTGACAAGCCTGATGAAATGATCCCAGAAAGGTTTCTTGATTCAAAGGGAGAACTTATAAAAAACCCAAAGTTCATGCCCTTCCAAGCAGGTGAGGAAAGATTATCATTGAAAACTTATTTCATTCAGCTGCTGATTATATCAATAATCAAATATTATGCAATAAACCATTATAGGGAGAAGGCAATGTCTTGGAGAAGCTTTAGCCAGGATGAACTTGTTCCTGGCAATCACATTCTTCTTGCAAAAATACACTTTCAGCAAGACCCCTGGGGAAATTTACAACCTCACTCCCAAGCCAAGGAATATTTTTGTTCCTGATTCATCATCCACACATTCAGGATAAGATTCAAGATGAGATTGACAGGGTCATAGGCAAGGACAGACTTCCTGTTTGGGATGACAAACCTAAGTACAGTTTCCATTACAAAAAAAAATATTTTCTAAATGCTTTCAACACAGTGTTTATGCCAAAATTTCAGAATGCCATATACTGAAGCAGCCATTTGGGAGTTACTGAGACTGAGACCACCTTTGCCAATTGGTCTTGAAAGGTATGCCTTGAAGGACATAACAATTGGAGGTTATTCAATCAAGAAGGTCAGTCTATTATTTCATTTCATTTATTTTTAAAATGTTTCTTGAATTTCTAACTTTAACAGGGTACCATTGTATCAACTGCCATCAGTGTGATCCACAGAGATCCCCAGTTGTTTGACAAGCCTGATGAAATGATCCCAGAAAGGTTTCTTGATTCAAAGGGAGAACTTATAAAAAATCCAAAGTTCATGCCCTTTCAAGCAGGTGAGGAAAGACTATCATTGAAAAATTATTTCATTCAGCTGCTAAATATGTCATTAATCAAATATTGTTATGCAATAAACCGTTATAGGGAAAAGGCAATGTCTTGGAGAAGCTTTAGCCAGGATGAACTTGTTCCTGGCAATCACATTCTTCTTGCAAAAATACACTTTCAGCAAGACCCCTGGGGAAATTTACAACCTCACTCCCAAGCCAAGGAATGAAGCCATCAGCCTTCAAACCCGCCATTTTTATTTTCGCATCACTCCCAGAACGTGATTCAGCATGCACCAGAAAATGGTGAAATACATGGGGAAGTCAAATATACATGTAGTTTTTGCAGAAAGCATTTTTTAATGTAAATTATAATACGTGTTGTGTTGTCCAAAATGCTAATAAACCTCTTCCCAAAACTACCAAATGCAGAAAAACAAGTTGGAGAAAATGGAGTTGTTCAGCATTTTGTTGGTGACCTGCTTGACTTTGCTTTTTGCTTACCTTTACATGACCACAAGAAGGCCATCATCTTACCCACCAGGTATAAATCATCATTTTGAACATCTGTAAAAACTCCTTGGGTTCCCTTTTTTTCAAACTACAGGGCCCACAAAATGGCCACTGGTTGGAACCCTTCCTGCTCAACTCATGAGAAAATCCTTTGGCAGATGTTTTCTGGAATGGAGTCAGAAATATGGAAAAATCTACAGGTTTGCCCAAATAATAGCATTACTGTATTCACTTGCATATCTGAAAACACTGGAGTGTATTCATTGCAGCACAAAAGTTGGACAAAGTAATGCTGTTGTGTTGACAGACTTTGATTTGGCAAAAGAGGCCAATTGCAAGGAGGAACTTTCAGACAGGCCTCAGCTTGAGTTTTGGCATTTTTTCATGAAATACAAAAATGCTGGTGAGTAAAAGAAAAGTTTTTTATACAATACGTAATGCTTGGAAAGTCCATGTTCAGTCTTGAAACAGTGTTATTCATTATGGAGACATGGACACTCATTTGTGGAAAAATGAAAATTTTTGCTGTCCTATCAATTGGGGAAAGTTGAAGTTTGATACAATAGGACAATTCAAAGTTAGTATTCCTGCAATGAAATATGATTTTCAGCTTCCAAAATTCATGATATGCAGCGTTTATATGTTATACAGTTTAATGCTAACTTGTCAGGGTTGTTCAAAACAAAATAAACCTCATCAAACATTGCCTTTGCAGTAAACTTATTTTGCTCTGATATTACCCATTATAAGACAATATAAGTGAGAAGTATTAATTTTTATGTGCAGGGTGACATGAAAATGATGAGACTTTCCTTTTTGTAAGTGCAAATACAGGTGGCACCTTGCAAATTGACCCTAATCTGTTGCTGGANAAAATGCTGGTGAGTAAAAGAAAAGTTTTTTATACAATACGTAATGCTTGGAAAGTCCATGTTCAGTCTTGAAACAGTGTTATTCATTATGGAGACATGGACACTCATTTGTGGAAAAATGAAAATTTTTGCTGTCCTATCAATTGGGGAAAGGTGAAGTTTGATACAATAGGACAATTCAAAGTTAGTATTCCTGCAATGAAATATGATTTTCAGCTTCCAAAATTCATGATATGCAGCGTTTATATGTTATACAGTTTAATGCTAACTTGTCAGGGTTGTTCAAAACAAAATAAACCTCATCAAACATTGCCTTTGCAGTAAACTTATTTTGCTCTGATATTACCCATTATAAGACAATATAAGTGAGAAGTATTAATTTTTATGTGCAGGGTGACATGAAAATGATGAGACTTCCCTTTTTGTAAGTGCAAATACAGGTGGCACCTTGCAAATTGACCCTAATCTGAACGACCTGATCCAATTTTAACGTTTCTTCGATTTAACGTTCTGTTACAGTTTACCGTACAAAAGATGAACCGTAAACTAAAAAGGATCGAAAACCGTCCAGTTTAACACGTCACCTCCAGTTTAACAATTTTGACCTCCCAGAAAATTTGACCATTATATTTCAGGAGTGTCAAATTGCTATAGGCACCACCTGTATATATTTGAAGAGTACACAAGTTCAGATTACCAGCAATGAATGCCCAAAAGAGTGTTTGGACACTCCTTTATAGATTTGGTGTTCTGCGCAAGAAAGGTACCTGACTGCAAGCAACAGAAATGGAACCAGGGTGGACCAATGGTAATTGACAGGTGACCAGACACATTAAATATTTGGTCTGTTGAGCATGGCTTGCAAAAGGACATTCCAAATAAGAATCAGAACATGAATGGGGTATTGTCAATAATGTGTTTTGTGACATGATTAAACTCATAATAAGATGACAACAGCCATGTCCAAGATTCACATTTTGACCTTCAGCCTAAGAATGATTCCCCATTGAAGGATTGATATTTGCCAATGGCCAAGATTGGAAGACAAGAAGGAGGTTCACTCTCAAGAACCTCAGAGACTTTGGATTTGGGAAATCATCCATGGAGCAACTGATCATTGATGAGATGCGACATCTGGCTGATTCACTCAAAGTTAAAAACGACCCAAAGGGTTCCATTGTAGAGCTTGATGCTGGCTTGAATGCTGCAGTGGCAAATGTCATCTGGTGGATAACAGCAAGTATAATGCCTTTTTCTGCACATATATTTTTAAAATCCTCACATTTTCTGAGCATGCAGGCAAAAGAGTTGACAAAGATGACAAAGATTTTGTGGATATCCTGGAAACCATCAACAGCATCCTTCCTTTTGACATTCACAAAATCCTCTCATTTATTCCTGCGCTGAAACCATTCATTCCTGATTGGATCAAGAAGCAAGATGACAGGAAAAAGAGGAGAGCACGGATTTATGATTACATGCAGGTTATATTCTACTTTCTCCAAAAATATAATTTAACCATTTATCAACCCTCTTTTCAGGCTTTGATTGATGACCACAGACGCACAGTTGACCCAAGTGACCCAAGGGACCTGGTTGACTGCTACATTATTGAGCAACAGAGACTTGAGGCCAATGGAGAAGACTGCTCCACATTCAAAGGCAAAATTAAGATTCAATTGGAAACTCTCAAAGATTTATTTACAAAGTCATGTTTTCTTTTTTTTGTCAAAAATCCAGATGAAATGTTGGTTTGGACTCTGGCTGACCTGTTTATAGCAGGGGCAGAAACTACATCAACAACCCTGAGGTGGTGCTTCTTGTACCTCATCACATTTCCTGAAATACAAGCAAAAATCCATCAAGAAATTGACCAAGTTGTTGGCAAAGACAGGTTACCATCTCAAGAGGACCATGGAAAGTAAATTAAAGACTCAGTTCATTTTTATTTAGTCCATTCAAAAAAATGTGTTTGCACAATTTTTTCCTTCAATGGAAATTAAGGATGCCTTATACTGAAGCATTTCTCTGGGAAATTTGGAGGCATGTCACTATTGTACCAATAGGAGCTCACAGGAAGGCAAAAGCTGATCTTCATCTTGGAGGCTACTTAATACCTGAGGTAATTTCTTTTATTATTGAAAGAAATTGACACAGAAACCAAAACCTGTAGCATTGAAGCTGGGTTTTGATGACGATAATCTTTGTTCTTAAAGGGAACTATTATTACAACAGCATTGTATGCCATCCACCATGACCCGTTCTTGAAGGTTTTAGGTCTTTAGAAACTAGGACTCTCTAAAGAACTGTTAGTACCTTTAGAACACTTCTTAGGGTTTTAATACGGTAAGGTTCGTCCACTCAGTTTAAAATATATGTAAATTGTCTTTGGCATGTCATTTCAATCTTTTCTCCATCTACATTTCCAGGTAAAAGACAATGTCTTGGGGAAAACTTGGCAAGGATGAACTCCTTTCTTGGATTAGTATATTTGCTGCAGATTTTCAAATTCCAAAAGGCTCCTGGATGCACATACACACTGGATCCAGTTCCTAGGCAAGAAGGAATTCATTGTCCACAAAAGCACAAACTTTTGGCCATTCCAAGAAACAGCACCACCTGTTGAAGAACTGAAAATTATTCTGAATTCCAAATCTGTGCAATTTCCAAAAATTGAAGAACTGTCAAAAATGTTGCAAGGTTTATTTGCTGGTTTCAGATGCTGGCTTTTTTGTGTTGTTTGTCTCAATGTCACATGTTGCTGTCGGAATTTTAAATACAGTACAATTCCTTACATAATCTTGCCTACATTCTTTGAAGGAATTGAACTCATTTTTCTCTGGGGCATTAATGCATACATAGATTCCAGTTACAATGACATTACATTTTGTTGTCACGTGTCTTTTGGAAACATTCACAAACTGTTTTTTATTTCCATCATTCTCCCTTCTTTTTGTGGATCACAGAATTGTATGAAGAAGGAAATCTATTGCCGTACACTCCCGATTTTACAACCAATACAAAATAAAATTCATCATTGGCAACCTTCAAGAGGATGATTGATTTGAAGTGTAGACAATATCAAAGATATTTAGATTTGCACCTCTTTTACCAGGTGCGTCTTGGACTGAGTACTTCAAGTACTCAAGACAATTAAATTAACAAAACACAAGTAAGTTTGCTTTACAAGTGTTTTATTCCAGTTTGAACATATATATGCAAAATATAACAAGCCAAATATGGACTCTGTTCCTCTCAGAGGGTATTTTACCAGTGAACTCTACTGGGTTGCACAAGGCCTTCTATTAACTCTAGAAAAACCAGACAGTAGAGGGTCATTGCGCCAGCAATGGACATTCTGCCAGACATAGAAAGCAGACACAAAGTATTCCTCAACAATGTATCCCTTTAGAGATTTATGGGGCGGTTGACCACCTGGGGAGAGCTGTAATTACAGCAGGTAAAGATGGAAACAAGGTTGCGCACACATGCATGGCTGTCCCGCATTAATGAGCGAGGCAATGGAAAGTTGGAGCAATTCAGACCAGCTGACAGCAGTATAAGTTGAGTTTCAAACAGTTCTTCTTTATACATTAGCAAACTAGCCTACCCTCTATTTAAAAAAATTACTTCAAAAATGTAACTCATGAAACTCTTCATCTTCAAGTATTGATGGGCTGACATTCTAAAACAAAGTTGAAATTTCAAAAATCAAATTCTCAACTCAAATAACACAAAAGCCAAAGATTTTGAAGCATACATTTTAAATTATGTAAAGTATATTTATTCTGCCCAATGGTCAGATGCCAGATCTTGAAGAATTCTTCCTTCTTTAATGGATTATTACTAGATTGGTTAGCAAGGAATGTAACCCAGAAACTGATTTCCTTATTTATTCTTTTCCCCTCTCTTATT